TGAGAAGTTCTACGAGGACGAAGCCTTAGTGGCCAGGATCAAGAGCGAGAAAGAAAAACTTGCTGCGATGAAGTACTCTGAGAAGAAGGTGAGGATATTGCATCTGCTCTGGGGGCAGGCGGAGACCGAGACCGAGACCAGGCTGAGCCTCATGGGTGTGCCTGTCCTCAAGGAATGCTTCTGCGAGCTCCTTGGCATCACGCGGTGGATGCTGGACACGATGCGCAAAGCCCAAAAGGATGGGCACATGCGACCGCCTCTCGATGGACGAACTGGCGGTGCCACGCACGAGAGGGATCATACGGCGAGCCTCACAGCAGATAAGTTTTCTCTATGGACTTGGTGCACACTTGGCCAGCCGTTCGCTGAAGAGCTCGACCCAGAGGATGACATCGCGAAGCTCAAGGTCAACCCAAACATCGACGATTTTCATTTCGATTATGACAACCAGGTAACCCGTCTCATCGAGGACCCGGCTGCCCACATCCTCTCGATTCCTGTTCGCACTCTTGTGAGCACGACTATAACGGAGCTCTTTGATCATTTCGAAAGCTGGTGTGCTGGAGCAGGCATTGAGGCGTGCTCCTACTCGACCTTCTTGAATGTGTGGAACAAGAATTGGAATAACACGCACCTTCGCATGCGCAAGCTCTCGCCACATGCACGGTGCGAAGACTGCGCGCGCTTTGCAGAGGCGCGCAAACGGGCTGAGACAGACGAGCAGCGCCGCGACATCATGCACCAATACTACGAGCACCTGAAGGGCCAGTACGAGGACAGGACTGTCTACAGCAGGATCGAATCATTAAGCGAGGCAGCGCTGGCACAAGATTCAAAGAAGAAAAAAGACCACACCTCGATCCTCAGCCTGGCCATCGATGGGATGGACCAGGCCGAATTCAGGCTGCCCCGCAACCTTTGCAGCAGCAAGTTGTGGGATAAGTTATGGCGCCCGCAAGTACATATGGTTGGCGTTCTGGTGAATGGCAGCAGCGACCACTACTTCCTCGAGGATCAGGACATGAAGAAGGACGCTAGCAACAACTGCGAAATACTATCGATCACAATTCAGCGCGTTGTCGACGAGTGCAAGGCCAAGAACATACCCCTTCCGATGCACCTCCACGTGCACGCAGACAACACTGGCAGAGAGCAGAAAAACAAAACAGGCTTAGGGGTTCTTAGGCGTCTTGGTTGGGAAGAAGATTTTCACCACAGCCACGCAGTCTCATTTCATGAAGGGGCACACCCACTTCCAGCTCGACCAGAAGTTCAGCACTATCGGGTCTCGCCTCGCCAGCACTGGCGTGATGGAGACAATCCAGGACTTCAAGCTTGCCATCGAGCAGTCGTTCGAGACGAATCTATCTTGCACCATTGTTGACGGCTCTCGGGATTGGAAATCGTTCTTGGAAAACCTGGGTATGCAGTTACATGGGCATACTGGGCCAAAGGCGCCACACCAATTCATGCTGGTCAGGCGCAGCCACTTAGTCGAAGACGGGGCCACAGACTTGATCGTATCAAGAGGTGGGTGGGGCATCGATGTGGAGGACCATCCGGACGACGTAATATTGCTCACCAAAGCTTTCATGCGCGATACGCAGCTCTCCCAGATGCCGGTCCTGTTCATCCCGCACAAGGTCTTGCACGAGCTGGGGAGTGCTGCTCCTACTGAAGTCAACCCCAGGAATGAGATCCCGGATCAGCATCGGACGAAGTACCTGACCACGGCTCGCGAGATCGAGAAGGAGCCATGGGCCTTGAAACGTGCAGCTGCCTACCTTCGCGAGTGGGTGGCGACCAACAAGACCCTCCAGAAGACGCCAATGACTGTGGATGATCTGACCCCGCTGCCCTTCTTCAGCGCTCCGGAGAAGATGGAGGATCCGAAGAAGATCGACCTCAAAAACTGCTTCACCCTGGTCAATTACATTTCAGTCGGCGCTGCCCCGAAGCGCGCTGCCACGAAGCGGACAAAAATCCTTGGGAAGAGGCGTGCCGGTCGCGCAGAGCAGGTCGAGTTGCCTGATGAGTTGCCTGATGATGATGATGATGAGCCCGAGGAGCCTCCCCTGCATGCGGCAGCGGCGGCAGACCAGCCTGACAATGGGCAGGCTGAGGCAGTGGTGGAGCTGCTGCCTCCGCAGCCAGCTGCTGGCGGACGCAAGCGCAAGAGGCTTCAGCTCCCAGAGGGCATGCCAGAGAGCATTCGCCACCAGCTCGGGTGCTCCAAATGCCGTAGGGTTCCAACTGGCTGCGGGACGTGCCGCAAGAAGGCTGGCGTTACAGTCTCGCCAGATGGTGAGTGGACGTTCTGAGCTCGATGGCACGAGTGCGCCCAGCGTACAATAGCATACACACTCAATGTTGGATACCGCCTGGCCCTGTACAGTAGAACAAAGAGGGCTGTAGAACAAAGGTGTCTGGACTTGAGCCTCTTCCTCCTCCTCTTCCTTCCCTCTCCTCCCCCTCATCTGGCTCCTCCTCTGCCTCCTCCTCTGTCTCCTCCAACTCCTCCTCCTCCACCTCCTCCTTCTCCTCCTCCTCCTCCTCCTCCTCCTCCTCCTCCTCTTGCGCGTACTCGCATGGTGGTCTAGGAATTTTGCTAGATTTTGGGGCAGTGCGCATAGGGCGCACTGGTAGGCAGCTGGACGCAGCTTGATGGGGCTGGCTGCGCAAACAAATTGTCCGAAAAAACAAAAGATTCTCGTCAGTGGTTGAGGCAGGAGCCACGCAGGTCCCTTGGGGTGCCCACCCTGTGTCCCTCCCCCCCCCCACAAGGGCCCCAAGAAGGGCCTGCAACGCTCTGGGACAGCCCAGGCCCGATACATAAGTACCAGTAGGCAAGCAGTCTGGTTCTGGCCCCCTCAGGGGATTTTGGTCTCTTCAAGCCTTGCTGGAGGTCCTCTTGGGGGCTTCGTGGGCCGTATTTTGCCATCTTGAGGCCATCTTGGACAGTGTTGGGTGCATCTTGGGCTGTCCTGGAGACATCTTGGGGCCATCTTGGGCTCTTCTGGATCTTGGCTGGCTTGGAGGCGTCTGTACGCAATCTTGGACCATTGTGGCTGTCTTGGCTGCCATCTGGGACCGTCTTAGAGCCAACGCCATCACCATTATCATCATCCTCATTGCCAAGCAATCTGTAGGCATTGGGGCTCAAGCAGTGCATGAAATGCCTGTGATCAAATCCACACGAAAGAGGCCTGCCACATCCTCTTTGTCACGCCATGCTCACATACCAGATGTAGAGCATGTTGACTCATCAGATAGCGATACGTGCCAGACTCTAGATGAAACTCTGACGGGTACAAATGCGCATGCGCGCATTCCACCATACTTGGATGGCACAGTTCGGGACGACTTCATGGAGATATTTTGCCCAGAAAGGATTTCTAAAATGGTTGCTCAGCTGAACCTACGCCCAGGCTTGTCAGTCGATGTTGTCACTGGGGATCCTCGTCATGATTTGGGAAAAGCTGAAAATCGGGCATGGCTTTTCTTGGAGATCGAGCGCCGCCGGCCTCGTGTCGTCTTTACATGTTCTCCGTGCACATTCTTCTCTGCATTTACATACATGTGGAACTACAAAAAGATGAGCCAGGAGGAATACTTGAAGAAGCACAGCGAGGCAACAGAGTTGTATGATTGTGGAATGACTGTTTGCCGAATGCAGTCGGCCCGAAATGATGGCTTTGTGCACGAACACCCCAGTTCTGCCAAAAGTTGGAATCTTGATTCTACAAAAGACATTGTTGCCAATCATGGTGGGAAGATTGTAGAGTTTGACTTATGCCGCTTCGGCATGAAGAGTCCGATCCACAAGTACCCCGTCAAGAAACGCACAAAATTGCTGACCAACATGGCCCAAATCGTGGAGCACTTCTCTGGTAAAACGTGCGCGCGCAAGACATTGTACCCCCTGAATGGGGGGCTCAAGAAACACTTATCACTACAAGGGTCTGAGGGGGGCATCCGGCTTAGCACGCATTGTGAGAAATACCCTCCGGAGTTTTGCTGGGCCATCGCCAATTGTGTCCGCGCATATGCGCGCTGAGCACGACTAGAGGCTCAGTATGTGATTCAGTGCTTTGTACTGTGGGCATGGATAGGGGCAGCCTCCTCCATATTGCCACGCAGAGGCCTGCAGGAAAAAAAACACCATCATTGGAAAGTGCGCTGACCTATCCTACTGGCCTTCGGCCCATCCTGCCACCGTGCCTGGGTTGTCAGTCTGAGGCCTCTTGTA